TTGTGATGAAGGTTTTGTTTTGGGTAGTTTTTGTACTTTTTTTAGCAGTTTATTTTGTAAAAAAATTTAAAGTCAAAAAATTGTTGTATTAGAAAGCTGTTTTAGGAAGCAAGAAGAAAGCCGTCCCAAACAAATCCGAAATTGTGGTAGATGTATATAGGGTTGTGAGCATTTTAAAGGCAAATGATTGGTTTTCACTAGTTGATGTAAGAAGTCATGTATGGATCATGACACATTTAATAAGCTCAAGTCAAATCCAACCAAGCTTAATTGAGACAATAGGCAGCTCAACAAACATATATTTTTGGACGAGTTGGCTTGATTGATTTAGTAGGCTAACTAAAATGGGCTAGGTCGATTAGATATGTGAACTAGGATGTATAGGTTTGTTTAAAACTAACTCCAAAGGTTTGTTGGCTTTAGATGCGTCCTAATTAGGATAGGGTCTCTTAATTCCAAATGGTATAACTTAGGTTCAACTCTATTTACGATAGTGCCAAGTTGTGATAATCTAAAATATCATGAAATACATTTATTTGAAAATATGAAAATTCTGGGCATTAGCACTGCAACGCTGTATTCATGAGTGTAGCGGTGCTAGGAAAGCACCGGTGCGGCGTTGAAGCCACTATTATATAGTAACCCTGTATTCAACATGCGGTACAACGATAATGTAGTTCATGGTGCTGCAGTGATGGGCATTAAAATATGAATTTTAATATATTTAAAATAAATATCACTCATCACCTTAGCCATCTCTCCATCATTTGTTGCCTTGCCGAAGAAGGAAACAAAAGGAGAAGAAGATAGAAAGAGAGGGCAGGAGAGGAGAGAAAGAAGAGGTAGAAGATCTTTCAGGGCATTTTCGTCCGCCGCTTCTACTACAAAAATTATTCTAATCATTGTAAGTGACTTCTATTTTCAATTATTTTAAGTTTAATTCATTTTCTCTCTCCTGTAATTAATAAAAATATGATATCTCCCATTTTAGTGAACTTTCATTATTTAACTTTTGGTGTGTGTATAAATATAAATATATATATATATATATATTATGAACATTTTGATTGATTTATATTAAAATTTTACTAGGTTGTTTGACTTATATAACCTCTTAAATGAAATAAGTAGATAAATATCAAGTGTAAAATAATCAGGAGCAAATGTACTAAATTCGGATATGAAATATGACAAGCATATGGTTATTATTCATTTGACATAACCTATATTTTTGACATACTGCATGCATATCAATGAGTTTACTGATAATTGCATCAAGTGAATATAATGTTTGTTATTATGATTAATATGATATGAAATGTATGTAATAGTAAGAAAGACTAGTTATAAGTGATTGAGTGATGGGCTAAAGACATGTTACCTAGTATAGGAGGTGGGTCAACATGCTTTCCTTAAAATAAAAGGTTTTTTTATGTAATCCTTGATGTTGGTATGTAATTGATTGAAAAAAATATCGTCGGGTAGAGGGTGATGACTTTTTTTTTGATGTATTAAAAACATGATGTGATTGATAAGATGGATGATAGATATACATGTGACAAATAAAATAGGTGATAGATAATACATAAGATAGATGATAAATGACATATAAGATAGAGTATATATGGTAGATAAGATAGATAATATCTAATATTTGTCGTTAAAGCCGTGCGGGTAATTCTCTATTACTAATCATTAATTATAAGATAATTAGTAATTACGAGTCTTAGAATATGAATGAGGTAGAAGCGACAAAGGTTTGGGGTTAAAAATGTGAAAATTCAAATATTGATAATTTCTCAGCAAAAGATGTTTGCACTTGATGAATTATTTCTCTAAATGGGTGAAAGTCATTAAGTTGTGTACGCTAAAATATGAAGAATTGATAAGATTTTATGATATGAAGTTTTTGTAAGATTTTGAATAACTTTGGTGATGATAATTTGTAATGGGCAATACTCTCAAGAAAGAAATTATGATATTTATTTATTTTTTGCGTAAGGATTGACGTAACTTGAAAATTTCTTGATATGATCATATTCAAATTAATATGAAAGAAAAACAACAAATAAGATAACAATAAAACCCTTGTATCAAGTGCATATTGAAAATTAGGTGTGAGTGAGTTCGTTGATGAGGGTAGATGTAATACTCACTTAAGCCATGTACAATAACTCTTGTTCAAACCCAATCTAGTAAATATAATGTAATGAAAATTTTGTATTATCATCTCTTGCGTATGTCTGTGAGTATTTTGTGTGTATGTGAGTGTTTAAACCTAATTTGAAGTAGGTCCCAAGGATTTGTATGTATGAATGAAAAATATGAAAAAAATTATCTAGGAGCGTTGCGACACTAGGTTGGAGCTCTGTGGCATTGAGCTCTCTGTCTTTGGGAAAAATAAATTAAAAGCTGTGGCACTCTGATGCAAGATCAAAATTTTTATAAAAACTATTATTTTTCACTTAATTATAACAAAAACCCTACTTTGGCAACCAATTAGAGAGAGAAAAGGAGAAATCTTAGAGAGAAAAAAATTTTAGGGGACTCCAATCTATTTTCTGCTATAAGCTTAGTTCAGAAAGTTATCCGGATCAAGTTAGGTTACAATATGCATATCTAAGTTTTCAAAAATTCAAAAAATTTGGGAATTTTTTATTAAAATTATAAATTTATAGCATAAAAATGAGGATAACTTTTTACCTGCTAAACTTTTATCATGTAACTTTCTATATATTGAATTATGAAATTTTACTCTATTGTTGAATTTGATAAAATTATAAAATTTTACTCTGTTGTTGAATTTATTTCCTACAGATAAAGCATTTTGTGATTTTCTAAAATTAGTTTATTTATATTACTTTGATTGCAATACAATGATATATGTGTTTATATGCTTGAATTATGAAATTATGTGGAGATCTGATATTAAAGGAAGTTCTATTATGATGAATGTATTAGGAGTCTTAAGGGCCCATTCTAAATATTTGATATGTGCTAAGTATTTGAGAGTTATAAGAAACTATTTTCTAATATGATAGCATAGAGAGTTATAAGGGTATGAATTCTAACTTCTATTTTTTATGAAAGATATAAGGGCCTAAGAAAAATATGTTATTCTCTACTATGATTTAGTGTTCTTGTTTATTTATTTTCTCAGCATGGTTTATTAAATTTTTGATACATACAAGTACTATTCTGCCTAGAATAGTGAATCATTAATAACTACTTTTAATTTTAATTAATTATATCATGCATTAATTATTGAAAATTAAGATTGATAGATGTGAACTATTGGGCTGTGTTTTCTCTCTCCTTTTTTGCATTTTGTTTTAGGTTAGGGGAAAGGTAAAGAGCTTGTTGAGTAGTTGAAGTTACATGTTTTGATCTGTATGAGTTGGTATAGGTATGTTCTAGTTTATAGATTTCATACAATCATGACTATTTATTTTTTTTCCATGTTTTGGTTTGTAGCCATATACTTTAGTGTATATATTTTGTTGTATATTTATTTTGATGATGAAGGAGAAGAAATTTATGGATGAGTTTACTTTTTAACGAGTTGGAAGTTAATTAGTAGCTTTGTAGTCTGTTTTAAATTTAAGAAAAATTTGAGAAGTCTCAAGAACTAGAACTTGGGTTTGCTTTATCACCATTCAATATGATATGACATGTTCTATTTGTGGGTCATATTAGGTTTGATTGTGATAGTAGAACTAAGAGGGCTAAGGTTGACGAGTGCTTCAAAGTCATTGGCAATCTTTTGATGGAGCCATGAATTGCTTCAATGTGAGAATTGAGTGTGTCCAAGTCACCATGATCGTAGACTCAATGATCAGCTGATTGTGATGAGGCGAGCAAGAATCCTATTAGAAAGATCCTTTCTTACAGCTTGGATGATGATCATAGATGATGAAATTCCACCCTAGATAGCTGCTAGTGGCTTTGAATGGTTCTCTCGCTGGTGTGATTCCTGATCTAAGCGATCCATGTGTACCCTTGGCTCTTTTGGGATATAACTCCTCTCTGCATATTTTGCCATGATGGGGATCGATGATTGTTAGAGAAATCTTCATTATTGATGTTCACAAGGTACGAGTTTGCCTATTATGCTTGCTGGCTACTTGCTAGATATTAGAAAAGGTATATATGAGTGTACAATATATATGATGGAACAAGACGATCATTCAAACATTAATGATCATGATATTTAAACCTCAATAAATATAAGTTCTCTCAAGGTAATATGAAATGTCAGTTATAAACATATTTGAATACACAAGCACATTGAAAATTCATTGAAGGAAGATATTACACTTAGAAGAAGATGACAGATGCTACAAATGTTGCTTGAAATCCAATTATTCATGTAGGATGATTATTCATTTTAGATCTATGTCTATTTTTAATCAATCTTTCATCCATTTTTCACAATGAACATTAGTATAAAGAACATCAATCAGGACTTTCGAAGATGATGTTAGAGCTTTCATAAGATCATTATACTAGATACTCGTTAACTAGTCAATCTTGCCAGATTCTACTCTTGAAATAAAAAAGAGAGATAGAATTTATGCACTCTTATTCTTCTCTCGACTCTATAGCTAACGTAGGTCTCCTGATCAAATTATTTTAATATTTATGTTATTTATGTTATCTCATTTTCAGGTTTAATGTCACTCTACCTCTCTACCCTCATCCAAAATATTGCGTATATATTCATTTCTCATCTTACAAATCCTTTGAATCTCAAAAAATCAAAATTCCTCTCATCATGTTGACAGCTAATTTTCACATTTCACACCCCTCTTTATTGCAATTATTTACTCCAAATTTGAATTAATCTATTTTGGATTAGTAGGATCTCGCAATCTTTTATTTCTTTATTTGAAGAAAAAATATAATTAATTTGACTTTTCTTAACTCAAATAGTAATCCCTCTATATATTATATTCAGAGGAAACCTTGTATCTCACGCTGAAGAATCTGGCCTTCCACTGATTCTTCCACTGATTTTGGATTAAGCGCGATCAGCTGGCATTCCATTCCTCCTTTGGAAATGGCCTGATGCCCTGATCGGAATTCTCATTAAAATTAAAAATTAGGCCATATTATGCCAACATCTGTCCCTTCCACCACATCCTTCCAATAAATCGAAATCCACTCGCTGTCCTCTTCCTCCATTTACTTTTTCCAGAAGCAGAAACCACTCCAAGACAGAGAAAGGGGACAGCGAGCTCGAGAGCAGCGGAGAACGCGTCGTCAAAACCAAAGGTTTTACCTTTCTTCCATCAACGAATCCTCTCCTTTTTTTCTACAAAACCCATGCCCCCAAATCCCTACTTTTTATTGGAATCTCTTGTTCTCCATTAGCTCGGAAACCCATCTTCCTTGAATGGCTCTTGCTTTCCTTTACAAAGCCCATTATTTCTTCATAAACCTGTCTTTCATCTTCTTGCTCGGGTTCTTTTTCGTCTTCCTCTCGTTCTCCTCTCCGAAACAATCCAGTTTTCTTTCCTTCCCTCCGCTTTCTACAAACCCAGACGGTTGCAGATCAGTAGAGTCGCTCAACGACGCCAAAACAAAATGCTTTTACATCGAAACACACCATCCATGTGACACTAGCGGCTACATCGATTACCTCAATTTGTTCTACTGCGGCTTCGGCTTCTCCCCTCTTCTCGGCCACATCGTCCTTGTTCTATGGCTTCTGATACTCCTCTACTTGCTTGGAAACACTGCCTCGCAGTACTTCTGCCCTTCCCTTGAGGGCCTATCCCGTGTGCTTAAACTTTCCCCGACCATCGCCGGCGTCACCCTGCTCTCCCTAGGCAACGGCGCGCCAGATGTCTTCTCCACCATCGTCTCCTTTGACGGCGCGGCCTCCGTGGGCCTTAGCAGCGTTCTTGGCGGAGCCTTTTTCGTCTCCACCGTTGTTGTTGGCGTAATCAGCATCTGCTGCTCCTCGCACTGCCGTGTGGTCGCCATCGACCGCGTCGGATTCATCAGAGACCTCTGTTTCTTCCTCTTCACCCTCTTCTTCCTTCTCCTAATTCTTTCTGTCGGGAAAGTTCACATCTTGTTATCGATGATCTTCGTTTCGCTGTACATTCTCTATGTCATCGTCGTCTCCACTAGCCATTGTTACAGGAAGGAGCATGCAGAGCTGGGATCCCCATTGTTGGAGTCCATTGAGGTGGAGCAACCCGCTGTTCAATCTCAAGAGAGCAAACAAATTGTAAAGTTCTCTCCTTTATTAGATTGGGTACTTTTCTTATTGGAGCTTCCACTCTATCTACCAAGAAGATTAACAATCCCAGTCGTGACAGAAGAAAATTGGTCAAAACCATTTGCAGTAGCTTCCATGATTCTATCACCAAATCTTCTTGCAATCTTATGGAACTCTCGCAAAGGAGAGATGGACTCACAAGAAAGCATCACAGTCTTCCTCTTTGCAGCCTTAATCGGAATAGCTCTTGGAATCATTGCCATCGAACGCACTGAATCCTCCCAACCACCAAAGTTTATTCTCCCATGGCTTGCAGCTGGCTTTCTGATGAGTGTAGTATGGACTTACTTAATAGCAGGAGAACTTGTTTCTATTCTGGTATCCATAGGTCATATACTTGGAATACGTCCTTCAGTGCTAGGAGTGACTGTTTTAGCTTGGGGAAATTCACTTGGAGACCTTATAGCTAATGTCGCCATGGCTGTCAATGGAGGAGAGAATGGAGCTCAGATTGCTATTTCCGGTTGCTATGCTGGTCCAATCTTCAACATATTGATTGGGTTAGGAACGTCTCTTCTTTTCTCTTCTTGGGCTTCTCTTCCTAAACCTTTTCAGATTCCCAAAGACCCTTCTCAGTTTGTGATTATTGGATTTCTTATTGGTGGCTTGGTGTGGGCTTTGGTGTTTTTGTCGAGGAAACAGATGAAGCTGAATAGGAGTCTGGGTGTTGGACTCATAGCTATTTACTCTTGTTTTCTTTGTCTCAGACTTCTTGAGAGCTTGCAGCTGGCTTATTTTGGAGCTTCTGAACATGTTTAGAACTCAGAAATTAGCAGGGGAGCTTAGTTCATGATGTATTATATGATCATTTATGCTTTTTTAGTCTGAATTGTTATGCTGGAAGCAGTTTTCGATGAAAAATCTGCATATTTTTGCATAGAATCAATCATTCAGGAGAACTTACTGAAACTCGAGATCTGTTAGAGCTGTTTGATTTGTTGTAAATAGGTGCAAAGTTCAGTTGAGTACTTGTGAATAGTTTCTGTGTTTGATTTTCTGTATTTCTTAGCGATTTCTAAAATGATTTAGTTATTTAGTATACTGTGGATATTTAACTACCAATTGAATGCCTTCACATAGAAGGAATTGGTGAAGAAGTGTGAACAGTTTGAAAATGAAAGTGCAGAAACTAATAATTCTGCTTAGTTATGAAAACTACTGTTGTCATGGTCAGAAAATGACAAGGAAGATTGATTTGTTTGGTGGAGTGATAATGTAGCTTTCTTAATAAGGACACAATTATGACCCTTCATTGATTAACAGAGAGATCTTTTCTTATATTTCTTTTTAAAGTTATTGTATTTCAGTAGGTGTGTTGGTGCATTTCACCCATAGAGGGGATGGAGATGGCGAGGGAGAGCTTGTCAGTTGGCTTACCTTTGGAGATGTTATTCTTAGACTGTAATAGAAGAGAATTAGTTGGTGAATGCATCTGTAAGTAGATTTATAGAAGGGATATGAGTGATATAGAGATCATCATTATTAAATTTTCTTATGAATAAAATGAATATTAAGATTTCGTTTGGAACAACCTTCTTATTGATTTATAAAGCAATTTTCTAGTACAAAATTTTTTTGTACTATAAAGCTGTTTTAGAAAGTAGTAAGAAAGCTATTCCAGATGAAGCTTAAGTTTTTTGCTTCGGACGGTTTTCTTTCTGCTTCTTAAAGTAGTTTTTTAAAATTTTGTATTAAAAAAATTACTTTTAAGCAGAAAGAAAGCCGTCTCAAACGAAGTCTTAATGTTAAATGTTTCATTCATCATGTTGGCGTTCAGGTGAAATCAATGTGCTAATAAATTATTGCTGTATATAATGAGCATTAAGGCCAGCTTGGAAAATAGAGACGTGTCAAATGAAACAAAGTAGTACTCAGATTTAGTAGACAATCGAGCAACAATTTGAAAGTAGGTCAAAGATGTATCATTATAAGTATGGAAAAAATATATTGAAAGTAGGAATCACCTTGGACTCAAAGGAAGAAGTACAATTGTCTAAGATCCTTGAGGGTAAATCATTTTGATAAGATGTTAATGAATTATTAGATAAATTATGGATTATCGTCTTTGATAATAATATCGTCAACATGCACAAAAAAGTAGGTAGTGTGATCATTGGTGATGAGGATACAGACATAGGTGCCGACAAGAGAGTTTGTGAAGCTAGTTGCAAGCAGAAATTGATGAAGTTCATCGTACCACACCCTTGATGATTGTTTAAGTTCATAAAAAGCCTTCTTGAGTTTTTGACAAGATGTGGGTTGTTTTTATCAAAAAACTCGAGAGGTTGGGCCATAAAGACTTCATTGTTGAATGTGCCTTAGAGGAAAGTATTGTGACATCTTGTTGGTGAATGGGTTGGTTTTGACTAACAATAATGTTGAGAGTAAGTCTAACTATAACATGTTTCATGATAGTGATTAGTTTGTCATAGTAGTCTATACTACTGTGTTGATGGAAACCCTTAGCAAAGAGGCATGATTTGCATATGTGAATAAAGCCATCATAATGGTATATAGTACAAAATATTCATTTGCACCCAACAAGATTTTGCTATGGGTCCATTGGAATTAGGTCTCATTTTTTTATTGCTAATAACAACATCAAACTATTTGGACATGGTGTGATGTTCGAATCTTATATGGCTTTGGTCACCAAGGTGGGATCAAGGTCCCCTGCTGTTTGATTATGAGCATGGAGAGATATTGATGGGGACATCGACAAGAGGTTTCGACGCGTTTATCAGAGGCAAAATAAGAGATCGATGGCCATAATGGAGAGTCTTTACTTTTGATGCATTTTATGTATTAGCATTTTATGTATTAATCATTTTATTTCAGTTTTTTCGTTTTTGCCCTTATGGGTAGTTGGTAGCTATTATAGCCCAAGGGGCATTCTAGTCTTTTATTTTCTTTGTCATTTTGAGGCCTATATATATGGCCATCTTCTTATGTATGAGATTATTGATGAATGAATGAAAATTTCTCTTGTTGATCTCTTTGTGAGTTCGTTACATTTCTCTAGATCTCTTTGTGAGTTCTTGAGGAAATGATATTGTGGATCTCTTTTTGAGTTATAGTGAATGAAGAGTTGAGGTTTTTGTGTTTTGAATTTCCTTTCCCTCCTCCCAAGGTCCATGACCCTCTCCCTTAGTCCCCCCCATCACTAATGACAATTATTCTCTTCCCTCTCTATATATGGCCGGCCCCCTTCATGGGATTTCTCCCTCTCCCAAATTAGCTCCCTAATCCCACCAAATCAGCCCCCATTCACTTCCCATTGTCCCCCCCCCCTTCTCTACTTGGAATTAATTTAAAATTTTCAAAATAATTCCCTCCTACTCACCTAAACCTAAAATAATATCAGATTTCCTGATTTTATTTCCTGGCCTTCAACTCTAGCTGCCCCTTTCTAGCTCTCACGCTGACCCAACCCTCCCCCTCCAAGCCGCCCCTTCTTCCCTTGTTTCTCCTTCAATTCCCGGTAAGGATGCATGGTGGATCCCGAAGTTGATCATGGCTTCGCGTACAACAAGCAAGGGGAGATCGACATCTTTCTCTCCCCCTTCTACGAACCAGATTGGGAATACGACATCACTGTTGAATGCTACGTCAACCGGATCATGTATTGCCTTTCCCACACCATTGAGCTTCAACGACCAAGGACCCCGTGGTCCCTCACCAGAAGATACGTGTCACCTCCACCTCCGACTACCTTCCCAAGAACGACGTTCCTCTGCTCGTCCGTCCTAGTGGTTACTTCATTTCTAGTGTGGAAGATCTTTCTCCGCTCAACCTAGATTCGTAGGGAAGAGAGTAGATCCTCAAAGGTGAACATTTCATTATTAATTTTTGGATTTGTGTTATAAGCTTTTACATTACTTCACCTTTGTATTTGATTGAGAGTGTCTTGGTTAATCTTCACACAATTCTTTGCCTAAGCAAGTGGAAGACTGATAATTCTTGTAACCTACTTTGAATTGACGCCTAATTTTATAAAGGTTAAACTTCTATTAAATTCTCTTGACAATCTTGTGTAACTCCAAGCATGTATCACATCAGATATTTTATTAAGGAAATTGAAATCTTATTTTAAGCTCATTTTTTATATCATTTAGTTATTAGAGGGAGTGGAAGAAGGTAGACTTAGGATTGATGGTATAAGCAACTATTGTGAGGGGCCAAACTAGTCGGAACATTATGAATGTGATGACTAATAAAAGAACATGAGTGAATAGGCCTAAGTTGGTATGAACCTTAAACTGATGGAGGGGTTCTGTCTGTTGGTGAGTGGTGGTCAATAGGTTGAGTTAATGGATTTGAGTATGAATGATCTATTTAGTAGATTTGGTCGATCAATGGGTTGTAGAAGTGTTGACTTCCATTATGTTGGGTTTGGTTGAGAAGGAAATATAAGAGGATTCACACATGTGTGATGGTGAAGGGGGTATCATCAACATATAGATGCATAACACAATTGGATTGTGAGCAGTCAAAGATAGTCAACACAGATGTAGGATGAGCACTTTTAGTTTGATGTTATTTTAAATAAATAATGGAGTTCATAAACAAAATATTGTAAGATATTTAGATTTTGTATGTGATCATATTATGACAATTATATGCACTTTGTATGATATTTAGAATATCCTAAGAAGTATGGAGTGTGGCTTGTGAGATTTGTATGATCATAGGATTGTGAAACTTTGATACATTACATGACTCATGAAGATGTTGAATTATTTGATCGGTAACTTTGTTCACAAGAATACTATATAGATATAAGGGATATAAAATATTTTTGCAAGAAATACAAGAGGTGTGTCTATTTGCAATGGTTATCAATGAAAAGGACTGAGATAGCACATAAGCTATCTCCTTTGATTAGGCACAAAAAATTTCAACAAAATAGAAAAAAAAAGTACGTGAAAATATTTAAACATAATAAGGATTCAAAAAGTAACAAATCAAAGTGTACCTTGGCATAAAATTACTAGATCTAGAAATCAAACATTAGATAATCATCCATCACATAAACTAGAAGTAAGATGTGTACAAAAAAAGGCCAACCAAAGAAAAGCAATGAAATATTGAAAAGTTAGTAGACATTTAGCGATTAAATCTCATTACTTGGACATTACCACCCCTCCTCCCGGAGTCTGGCCAATTCATTACGACAATGAAAAAGAATTTATTTTGAACTTTCACAAGAAATAGAATGCATGATGTTTGACTAATGTTTTCTTATAAAAGTACAAAATCGATCTGTATGTCCATCTCAAAAGATTAGAATTTGTAATTAAGATACATTTGATATGGCCTAATGTGTGAACTAGAGATTTATAGAACTTTTTTCTTATCTTTTTAACAATTCTAAGATCACATAAAATGAATTATTGAGCTAATCAATATGGTCAAAACACTAAAGCTGTCCAAATGAGTATAAACTTAGAAAACCTATTGAATTGAGTCTTTATGAAGACTAAAGAGTTGCCATTAAATCATAAAGATTAAATAATATAATAATTATTCCCTAAGATAGGAGTAATATGAGTTGTCACTTATGTTGAGTAAAATTTTAGTGAGAATGACTATGAGAACAAATCAGGCTAATTAGATAAAAATCTTTAACTTTAAAGATGTTTGTAACAACTCTCCCAATATCAAGAGAACACATCTCTAATGTGTATAAGTTTGATCCACCATGATATTACTCGCGCAACCCTGAATTGATTCTTTGAAGTTTCTCTCTGATCATCCATGCGCCTTATGTATCTAGTTGATCTTTCCACTATATATGGTACCATTGATAATTACAACCTATAGTGACTATTGTTTGGTTATATAAGATCTAGTCAATATGCTCACCCTACTGATGATGT